GGGTGGAGGGGGGGGAAAGGGAGGAATGGGACACATCTGTAATACTGTCAACAATATAAAATATATATCTTAAAAAGAAATTAATAGCCCTAGCTGGTTTGGCTCAGTGGATAGAGTAGTCAGCCTGTGGACTTGAAGGGTCCCGGGTTCTATTACAGCCAAGGGGCCCACGTTGTGGGCGCAGTCCCCAGTAGGGGGCGTGCAGGAGGCAGCCATTCAAAGATCCTCTCTCATCATTGATGTTTCTTCCCTCTCCCTTCCTCTCTGAAATCAATAAAAATATATATATTTTAAAATTATCATATAGTATGCTTATCACATTTGTCGACTGACTATAGAATTTGATGATTAATAGAATCTGATCCCAGCCCTGCAGGTGTTGCTCAGTGGTTGAGCTCGGACCTATGAACCAGAAGGTCACAGATCCCCAGTAGGGCACGTACAGGAGGCAGCTGATCAATGATTCTCATCATTTATGTTTCTCCCCCTCTCCCTTCCTCTCTCTGAAACCAATAAAAATATATCTTAAAAAATAATCTGATCCCAAATTATTGCTACAAGCTGGAACAATTAACGGAGTAAACAGTAAATTAAAGCCAAAATTAAGAGTTTAGGTTTAAAAACCAACTGGAAGATTCAAAATTCTGCAAAAGGATAACTAGGTACCTACTGTGTGCCACGCACTAGACATAGAGACATGATTCTTTCCTAGATTGGACAATTCCAGACCCCCCCCCCCCCCAAAGAAAAATGTCTATGCTAGACCAAACACATCTTCCTGTGACCTCTCATCTCCTTAGCACTTACTAATAATTCCCTAGCCCCGTTGTGTTAATTCTTCGGGCAGAGACCACACAACACGCCTTGAGTCTCAGGTTTGCAATGATGACCGGAGTCCAGTACCCTCCTCTTGGATGACCGCTTTGGCCCTGCGGCCTCAGGCCGATTACTTGGAAGCTAAGGAAGCGAAAACGCGCGCCGCGGGAGTGTCGGGGAGAAAGCGCCCGGAACAGCCCGGAGCGGCCTGACTTCCCGCCGCGCTCCAGGCTCCGGAGGCGCCGGAGTTCCTGCGGTTACAGCTCTGCGCATGAGCGGAAGTCAGGCTTTGCGCAGTCTGCTGGGTCGGTGGGTGTGTGTGTTAACTGATTGGCTCCATATTCAGTGCAGAACAATCCGTTTGCATCTGTTCTTCCCGTAGCACCCTCCAGCTGCTAGAAACAAGATCGCATTACAGGAAGCATTGAGGCCGCCCGACTCCCCATCTTCCCGTAGTAAAGATGGCGGCGCCCTGACAGTAAACGACACGTCAAACCACTTCCGCGTTTCTCCTGCGCCCTCGTTCAAGATGGCAGACGAGGCCACCCGGCGTGTCGTGTCTGAGATCCCAGTGCTGAAAACTAACGCCGGACCTCGCGATCGGGAGCTGTGGGTGCAGCGCCTCAAGGAGGAATATCAGTCTCTTATCCGGGTGGGTTGTGCTGCTGCGGGCGCAGAGCGCTGTGGGTCATCCTGTGTGCTCAGGAATAGGCTCCGTGCGGAAGCCATTTCCGGTCTTAAAGGCGAACCCCCAAATTCATAGACACGAGAACTGCGGGGTGAGGGGACTAGGCAGG